TCCCGTGTAGGTCTATACAAGAATAAGAAGGGAAATAAATAAGGTAGGACGGAGCGAGTACGAGGATCATTGCTCTCTTTTCTTCTTCACTTAGCAGTCGTCTTCCTCTTCGTCCTTTATGTTGTTATTATATTATTTCTATCATCTGTTCCTTGTAAGCATTCAAAAGAGTGAAAAGATAAAAAAAATAAATAATAAAATAAAAAAAAATACAAATACCCGCGTTGAAAAAATGGATTGTAAAAAGACGAAGGGATAAAGCAGGTGAAACCTATGGGCTTTTTCAAATCTCAACATGTTTCTCGAATTTTTATTAGGATATGTAATGTGTTATGCATTATATTTTTATTCTATTTAAAATATATTTTGGCGTTGAAAGTATTTAATGTGAAATGTGGCGATTTCTCGAGTAACTTTTAAAATTTATGGTAAATTAATTTAGTAAATATTTTTATATTTTTATTTGCATTGATAAATATAAATTAGCTAAGTTATACGTCACATATGTTGGATGTATGACGTACGACTTATGATTTATGATTGATCAAATGGTTTTAGATGTTTCAGATGTTTGGTTTTTTTTTTGATTTATTATTTTTTACATTAATGAAAATTTTTTCATTAATCAAAAAGTTTAATACTTTTTTTTTGGTATTTTGAAAGTGTGACAAAAAAAATTTGTAGACTTAAAAATTATAATAAAAATTCTTTTGTAAAATTTTTAATTTAGAGCAGCATTTGTTTTTGATTTTAGAAAATTCTTAATATTATGAAAAAATTATTTATCTATTAAAAAAAATTACTGTAAACAATTATGAAGGATTATTGAGATTATTAAAAAAAAAAATTGATTTTAATAATAAAATTGACAAATTTTCGTGATTTTAATTGTTAATCTTATCAACTTCCAGTAATTACTATCAAACAAATAAAAGTAATATAAGTACATCTAAACAAATCTATCTGCGAAAGTGCGACGAAGAAACAAGTAGCGGATCCGGGCGGACGCAATTAAAGTACTTGACTTAAATGTTGACTACAGAGTCTACTCTCCCATGAAAGCTATAAATACTATCGTCACTATCTACCGCGAGCTCGAGACTTCCTTCCTCTTAATAGACATCTATAAAACACCGCATCGAATCCTCAATTAATTTTGTATATCTATATCGATACCCACATCTATATTTACATCTATTATTATATCAAATAAATCTAAATACATAGATTAGATTATTGCATTCCATCAAATCAATTTAAACCGTTCTTCCGTAAACATAAATTAGACATAAAAATCTTCTATTAAACATTGAAAGAAAATTATTCATTTTTCAGCGAAAAAATGTTTTTACTGATATTAAAATTAATGAATGAAAAAAATTATTTCTCCTCTGCAATATGTATCCACAATTTTTTTTGTCATAATTTTTTGAATAAATTTTTTCTAATTATATTAAAAATAAAGATCTTGAAAATAAAAATAAACTGGTGATTTATTTTTAAAAATTAATTAATAAAAAAAGTAACCACAGAAGATAATTGATCCAAATTAGGGTTTATACTATATTTATAAGCTGGCAAAAGGCCTTGGAGACCTGCTGGCATAAATTAAATGGCTCGTGGTACACAGTACATAGTGCATATCGCACAAAAGCTTTGTATATTGTATACTGCACCTTCATCATGACATCCTTCATTGAATCCTCCCACTTGGCTTTTGGAACCTTCAGCTTCTACTAAATATTATTTCATCCTCTTTCCACCTCCTCACTCTTCTTATTTTTACTCTCTTGTTTTCCTTTACCTTACTTCACTTTTTCATAACAACCTCACTCAACTCGGCTCACACGCACACACACAGCAAACAAACTAAACGGTGAATAGCGGCCCGGTGCCCGGCATAAGAGTCCAGGACTCAGATGCCCCACATGTACACTATACTCATACTGAATTTACCAAGGATTCTTTTACGGTAGCAGCTGCTAAGCCATTACATTACATTCCCTTGCTCTTGCTATCCTTCCACCTTGTGACCCTAGGCCTAAGGCACCCAAATTCAGTCGAGCAACAACTTTCGTAGCCTTCAGACCTTCCGTCAATTTTTTCCTCTATATATTAAATTGTATTTTAATATTTTTGTAATTTATAATTTAACATTTTAATTAATTAATGTGTAACAATGTTGTGACGTGAAAAATTATCCAAGTGACCACTTACGTACCTTAAGGATATATATTGTGAAAAAATAAATTTATTTTTATTTATTATCTATAAATAATTAAAAATGATTATTTGTATATCTGGATTTATTCCTAGGTATGTTTTTATTTATTAGTAACATTTATTTTATTTTTATTAAAATTGAAATTTGTCCTTAAATGATTTCATGACGCACAGGATGATTATGATTCATCATTATTCGAGTAGTGATGTGTATTGTATATATTGTATTGTCGTGGTTAAAATTTTAAATGACCACCTGGCGAGTTCAAAGTGGAGTACTGAATTATTATTTTAAAACCCGTATCTGCTGGAAATAAAATTATATTGACGGCTATGTATTAATATTTTATAATAACACGAAAAATATTGAACATGTGACGGTTTTTTTATTAATAAAAAAATGTGCACCTCGAGAAAATTTAAAAAGCTATGTGTGCAATATTTTATAATATAAAAGATCAAATTATAACTTTTAACTGTTATGTACAATATTTTATATGCATTTTAGGGCTGATAAATATTAAGATTTAAGAAGCGCACTCTATTTAATTCATTGCTTTAATATTTATGTAACATAAATCGAACGAATGTAATAGAAATTCAATAGAAGAGACATTAAATATTTATGTTCTTAACTTAATCCACTGGGTAATATCTAGTGTTTTATTGACTGAATAATTTTTTAAGGTAATTAAAGTTTTAGAGAACCTTAAAAACATTATTAGTACTGCAAATTAAAAAACAGAAAAAAATTCAATTGGAAATTTTTACGCGGACTTTTATTTTTCTCTAGTTATGTGGATGTTAACACCATTAGGCTCAAATGATTGAGTCATCATTAGGCTCAAATGATTGATTAACCGAAACACATACCTATATTGTATTTGATAATTAAAAAAAAAAAATAGCTGATATTATGAAGGGAAAAAAAAATTATTTTAACATTATGAAAAATCTTTGCTTTGAATCAAATAAAAATTTTGATTAATTTTAGTTTATTTCACTTAATTCAAAAAATTTCCTAATAACTGACTAAAGAAAATGATTTTCTTGATTTAAGAGTTTTGTTTAAATTAATTAAATTCTTCTATTAGTGCATTTATTATCGTCCAAGTAAAGTTTAAATCTGAATTTACTAGCTGATTTTTTATTTAATTATAAAAAATTACAAAAACCATTTGCTTTTATTTTTACGAAACAACAAACTTAATAACCAGCAAAAGAAAAAAAACTCAAGATTTATGATGGAGATGAAAAAGTAGTTTTTAATTAGATGCGTGTGCATTTATGCTTACCTCTTACCCAAAAAATGACAGATTACATATAATCCGTGCACCCATAGATATTAAAATAATAATAATAAGTCAGTAATATCAGAGGACGAGTGGTAGATAGCGTCATGGTACCTTTCTGGTAGTTATGTTATAACCGCACTCCATTAATCTCTCGTCATGAAATTTGTGTACAGAGTGTGCAGTTGTACACGATATTAATTTTCCGTCTGGTGCTCGGCTCGTCGGATCCGTCAGACGCAAGGACGCCGGTTCTTGATGCTACACAGTTGGGTATCGTAATGTTTACGTTTACATGTTCTGTCGACGGTTACAAATACGCCAGATTCTCCTGGAAATTGTGTTGACCAATTTAATTTACTACTGGATGATCCGGATATTACTTCATATCTATTAGATTTTTTCATCGATTTATGTGCATCAATATTAATAGAAAAACAAATTATTTATAAAAATAATATAATTTAAAGCGCGCAGTAGCCTATCGGATCCGGCCCTTGCTACCAAAGCATTGGACCGGGTTCGAATCCGGCGTACACCAATGAATATTTTCAATATTTAAGTGTATTATTCTGCTCAGCCCAAGAAATACAAACGAGTTCCAATCTCAAAAGTTTACCCCCTACCGTAGTCGCTCATGACCTTAGTAGTTTATGCGACTTTAAACAAATTAAAAAAAAAAAAAAAAAATATAATTTAAAAAAAAATACTTAGCAATTTTTAATTTAATGATTAATTAAAACTATACTATGAATTATTAAATTTTAATGTATAACATAGATTTTATTATAATTTATAATATTTTAATGATGAAAAAATTAGCATTACGCTGAGCGTCTAGACCAAATTATACGGTAACAAGAATCGCGGAGTAAAAGATTAAAGATTTTTCTTTCATTTTTGAATAATTCTGAATAAATCAGCCTACGCTGATCCGATCAGGAATTGAATAAAAAGTAAAGAGCGCAAGAAAAAAAGTTGTAGGCGAAAGAATCATAAGTAAAGAAGCTCTTGTGTACCATCGATTTATGCTACTCGTTATTATGTAACATTTATAGGTCAAACACTCTGTATACATTAAAGTTGAATTATAAATATTTTTAAATTATAAATTGAAATTACAATCCACAAGTGATTCCTGATTATCATTTGAATTATATTTTGTTCCATTAATCATTTGATTTCTTAAAAATTTATCATACAATTTTAACAGCATTTGTATGATTTAAATGGACAGAAATGTTTACAAGACACGTTGTTATGTAAATTTAGTTACTATCTCAAATTGTTGAATTTATTCTATTATGAAACGAAAGCTAGGAAATAAAATTTCCTGAAGGAAGTCGAACTTGGATCTCTCAATTACACGTCAATAAGCGCTCTAAAACTCTATAACTCATGATACTAATGAATTCTGAATAAATAACGTTTTTAATGTTTAAAATGATGGTATTTCTAATTAAATCTAATGAGATATTTATATTTATGTTATAGCTTCCCTCAAAAAGTAGAGCGACCCAGTCCCAATACAAACTTGGGTCAAAATCACGGCGGGAGTACACACGGTGTTTACTCGACGTCTGGAAGTCAAACCTCTCTGTCGACATCGTACATAACAGGTCAATCGTATATGCAGTCACAGAATTACGGACACGCAGCGTATCCCACCCAGACGATGCAAGTTTATCCACACACCGGATACAGCCAGCCACAGAGTTACGGGACAATGGTACAGGGTTACGGTGGACAACCACAGTCTGGTTATCAACAAACACATCACAAGAAGGGGTCCATTCGTAATGGTGACGTGCTCAAGCGATGTAGGCTCCAAAATGCGTAAGTACTTTCAATCAACTCATTTTTTGTAAATCCTTCAAAAATTAGCAACCAATTTAATTTAATTTTTCATTTATTCAGGTACGAACTCTCGCAAGATCTACTAGACAAGCAGATCGAAATGCTTGAGCGTAAATACGGCGGAGTTAAGGCGAGAAATGCAGCCCTGACTATCCAGCGCGCCTTCAGAAGGTACACATTGTTGAAAAAATTTGCTGCAATTACGGCGATGGCCAAGGCCGAAAAACGTCTGAGCAGAAACATTCAGGACAACGCTGAGCGTGGCAGCGTGATAGCCGGTGATCACGAACGCATGCTTTATCACAACCAAATTTACATCCAGCAATCCCCGCAAACTGGAAATCACCGCCCGGTCCCGATAAGAAGCATGTCGTTGCGCGAAAGAAGACATGCGGAAAATTCGGCGGTCTCCCGCAATCAAACTGGGAGATGCGAAGTACAGATTATGGGACAAATTAATACCGGGCATCAACAACATCCAAGTCCTTATACACTTCATCAAACTGGTAGACACACACCCTCCCTTACGCCCAGCCCTTGTGGTAGACATCAACCACCCGCAAGTCCTTGTTGGGATACTAGTTCTCAAGAGAGTGGCTCTAGTATTCATTATTATAATCCTCAGGTAATTTTTCTTCATTTTATTACTTATTAATTTTAACTGGTTATTTTGTATAACGCCATTTATATATTACATCAATCAAAATTTTTGTTGTAATAATTTTGGAAGTTGAATTTAATATAATTAACTTGTTGATTTAATTTTTTATTGATTTAATATAATTATTATAATTGTAAATTTTAAAATTCATTAACTTGTCTGTTCTTTATTTTGAAATTGTTTTTAACGATGAAGATGATAAAATTATAATTATATATATATAAATGAATATTTTAAGAAATTTAAATTTTTTAATTAAATAATTATTGTGATATTGACTGAGAACCAAAGAACATGTCAATTTTACTGTTAACTTTTATGTAAGTTATCTAGATGCGAATAACAGGTATATATCGGTGATTCTCTGTAAGGACGTCTTAAATTTATACAAAATTGTCCGGCCAAATTATTTTTGATTTTATTAGAAAAAAAATTAACAACGGCTACAAAACTATCAGCTTAATTATAATAAATAAACAGCCGAATTAATTTATGCTTTTTCGATATTTGTGTATCTTTTGCCATATAACATGACAGGGGACTGACTGCCAGGGGACTGATTTTTTTTATCAAATTGAGAAAAATCAATCAAACTATTTCAATGCATTCAACTTTTTAAGTTCTCCATGAATGTTGACATTAATCAGAATAATATTAAGACTTATGGATCCAATTTTATAAATAAATTATAAACAAAAATAGCTGCCAGGGGACTGAGTTTTGAATCAGTCCCCTACATCCTTATAAACCTTACAAAAGGTAAAATAATACGCTAGACTTTTTTTTTTTGCTTTAAACTTCTGGCAGGGGACTGATCTCAAATGCCTGGGACAAACTTTGGTTTAATGAATTTAATGAAACAAATTAACTTTCGGTACTTTTTATTGAAGAAGATTGTTAGTTAACTAATTAAGTTTATAAGCATTATAGACCAAATTATATATTATTGACGAATAACTCAAAATTTAATCTTAAAGTTTTAATTTTGGGACTGGGACAGCCCAGGGGATTGACATTTCGGTGGTTTACGAATTTATAGCAAAAAAACCAAAATTTATTTCATTTTAATTTTCAATGCTCCAAATAGAAATGTTTTTTTACTTTCGTAATAAATTTTTTTTAGTAACAAAATAACAATTTTTCTAATAAAAAAACACCTGGGACAGGAAAAAACATCCTTACAGAGAATCACCCATATATCAATATTCAGTACCAAAATATTTTTTTAAGACGTCATCAATAAATAAATAAATAATTAAGAAATAAAATTAGAAAGACCATTAAGTTTTAGAATTTATAATATAAATTCTGATTATATTTAAATTCATCTATTCAAATAATAATTATAACATTTTAGTTAATAATCCAAAGTTAATTATTTACACCCATAAAATAAAATTTTTAGTCTAGAAAATTGTTTGAGAAAAATTATTCAGCTTAATTCAAGATAATGAAATTCATTAAAATTTTCCCTTTAACCAAGTTATTTTTATTTATGAGTGTAGATAATAAAATATCAAATAATTTTCTGCTGTAAATATCCAGTTAAAAAAAAATTTCCAGTAGGGTCGCCAGTAAAAGATAAATATCTATTAATACCAATTCTGGTGAAATTATAAAGCAATCATAAAGTTGGTAATCGAATTCATAATCTAATTAATAAATAATATGATTAAAGGAACTTTCTTGCGGTCTTCGGCAAGAAACTCCACCACGCGATCATCATAGAACACCGTGTACATCACCATCAACTCCTCATAATCTGCAAACTCCACTGACTCACAGTTGGGGCAACAGTTCGCAATTAAGTTCTGGTGGACGGAGCCGTAGTTCCGGCAAAAAAGTACCTCCCGAAGTACCCAAAAGAACGTCCTCGATAAGTTCTAGATCCATGGAGCAGCGTCACAATGGTTTGAGCAAGAGCGTCGAGAATGGAAGCTTGAGTTCGGTACAAAGCTCGGGAAGCGATTCCACCAACTGTGAAAGCTCTGAGGGTGACGCTCAGCGTGGATCCCCCATTTGGAAGCACAAAGGAATTGTAAGTTATATTTACTGTCCGAGTCACTATTTATCACTCATTAATTATTATCATCAAGAAAATTTTAACTAATTCATTTATATTTCTTTAGTCGAGCTCGCCGGAGCATCAGGATTGTGGCCACACAGCGGAGAATAATAGTCTGATTAATAATACTAAAGATTTAAGTCACTCACACGCTAGCTCGGGTTATCAATTACCTATGATGGATCACGCAGAAACAATGCCTCAAGCCAGCTACAAGGTTTCGGAAACAGTGAGAAAACGGCAGTACCGTGTCGGACTAAATTTGTTCAACAAAAAACCAGAGCGTGGAATTACTTACTTAATAAGACGTGGATTTTTGGAGAATAGCCCACAAGGCGTAGCCAGATTCTTGATCAGTAGAAAAGGACTCTCCAAACAAATGATCGGGGAATATCTGGGCAACCTTCAAAACACTTTTAATATGGCAGTCTTGGAGTAAGTTTTTATTATTTTAATTAATTACTAATCACATTTTATGTTGCTGTTATTGTACTCTTTACTTATAAAAATTTTGACTTTAATTTCTATAAAAGATTACAAGATTTTTCATTTTCATCTTGTAAATTTAGAGGAAAAATTTTCCCGAGTTTAAAAGTCACTTTTATAACTTTTGTTATTCGCGTAATAAGAAAACTTTATTTTTCATTTATGTTTTTTTTTTTTTTTTTTTTTTTTTTTTTTTTTTTTTTTTTTTTTATATCCTACTAGCGGCAATATTAATCGTATAATTTTCGAGGACAGTTGTCAACAAAGTATTAAATTTTGTTCTTTATTGAAGAAAAAAAAAAAGATCAACAGTTATTAATAAATGTAATATTTAAATTTTACAACGCCTTTGAATTTGATTAACATTTAACGAATGACCTATGCTAATTAATTATTAATATTTTAATTAAAAGAATTCTAATTGGTTTTTAATTAAATACACTTGTAATACCGCAATGTAAATGAATAAACAACAGTTAGAGTATGAACAATGAAATTAAAAGGAAATAAAACTAAAGTAATGGTGTAATCTTTTTTTTTAGGTGTTTTGCCCACGAGTTAGACCTGGCTGGAATGCAAGTGGACGTGGCTCTGAGAAAATTCCAGGCATACTTCCGTATGCCGGGTGAGGCCCAAAAAATAGAAAGATTGATGGAAGTATTTAGTACTCGGTACTGCCAGTGTAATCCAGATGTTATATCCCGATTAAGATCCCCGGACACTGTTTTTGTATTGGCATTCGCAATAATAATGCTGAACACTGATCTGCACACACCTAATTTGAAACCCGAGCGTAGAATGAGATTGGACGACTTTGTTAAAAATCTGCGTGGTATCGATGACTGCGGGGATATTGATAAAGATATTTTAGTCGGGATTTACGACCGCGTCAAAGCTAATGAATTCAAACCGGGATCAGATCACGTAACCCAAGTAATGAAGGTTCAAGCAACCATTGTCGGAAAGAAACCCAATATGGCATTACCGCACCGCAGACTTGTTTGCTACTGCAGATTGTATGAGATTCCTGATATACATAAGAAAGAACGACCAGGAGTTCATCAGAGAGAAGTTTTTCTTTTCAATGATCTTCTCGTTGTTACTAAAATTCTCAGTAAAAAGAAAAGCAGCGTTACCTATACTTTCAGACAAAGTTTTCCCCTTTGTGGGATGGTCGTTACACTTTTTGAAGTTCCACGTAAGTTTTATGATTATTATTATTCCTACTTTCATTATGAATTTATTGTTTATTAAATGCGATATTCGAGGCTATTATTCTAATCAGTTAATAAAAATTTACTGTTTTTGTCGGATTTTTTTTGCGCAAAAAAGTTTCTTATTAGAAATTTTAATACTATCAAAACTGAGTTTTTTGTACTAATGTCTACTTATATCGTAATATTTTATTTATATCATCTCATAAAATTTAATTTAAAATAAATAATCATTTTAAAAAACACGATTCAATTACAAACTAAACTTAAAAATAGAAAATAAGGATAGATTTAAAATTTGAAATATATTAAAAAGCAACCTACGATTTTTTTACAACAGTATAAATTTTTTTGTTTATATCATTTTATTTTTTAATTTGATTTTCTACTAAAGCGTGTTTTTTTAGTTTTTTTATACTATTATTTATTTTCAAGTTATGTAGTATAACTAAAAATCAAAAGCATAAGGTTATAAATTTCTACTTGATTAAGGGAGGAAATACATGTAGAAGGCCGTTTTCATGCTAATTTTCATTAATTTTTATTTGAAATTAACGGCACAGAAAAGTTACTTCATTTGTATGTGTATCTTCCATATGAACCTCAATTCCAAAAAAAAAAAAAAGTAAAAACTTGCATGTTTTAGAGAGCTATAAAATTGAGTCATGATTTTTTACCACTTTTTCATACATTGTTTATTAAAAAAAAAAAATAGTTTAAATAAAAAATATCGCTTTCGATTGAGGTTCATATTCAAAGCAATTGTATAAAGAAAATTATAAGCCATATCGCAAGATGATTAGCTTAAAACTCTTTGAGCTAGGCTGCACACAGTTTTGAAAAAACTCGTTTCGAGAAAAACGCGTTTGAAAAAAAAGTGACAGAAAAAGTTAATGCAAAATAGTATTAAAGTAATTACTAAATCGCTTGTAACTTTTGAACGAAGGGGAATTTTGACTTGAAATTTTAAATCTATATTTTTGAATAGCTTTACAAGCGATTTATAAAAAACAAAAAAATTGAATTTTTTAAGCCTGTACACGTATTTCCCCCCTCAATAAAAGAACAATTAATTTATTTGGAATTATTTTAATTGATTTTTGATACGTTTGCAAATTTTTAATTAATTGAACGTCTCAAAAATCAAATTTTTTTTGTTTGAAAATTTTTTAAAAATATTAATTAATTAATTTTTAATTTATAGATTATCCATACGGTATAAGATTGTCGCAGCGTGTCGATGGTAAAGTACTAGTCACTTTCAACGCAAGAAACGAACACGACCGATGTAAGTTCGCGGAGGACCTTCGAGAATCAATCAGTGAAATGGATGAAATGGAGACACTGAGAATAGAAACAGAATTAGAACGGCAAAAAAGCAGTCGTGGAGCCCGCGGAAGCTCGGAAAACCGTGACTCTGGAGTTGCTGATGTAGAAGTTTGTTCTTATCCTGGTCAGTGTTCCGAGAGACAAGAAGCTGCGGATTTAGACCCGCAATTGAAAAGATCTGCGCTCAGCAATTCGTTACTTGACATTCATGAGCAATGTAAGTCTCATAGTTTATAATTGAATTTTTGTTTATTAAATTGAATACAAAAATTTATTTATAGTATTAAATTAATTTGATTGTTTAGTTGCCGGTGAGAAACCTCAAAGACGCGGTAGTGTCGGCTCGCTAGACAGTGGCATGTCAATATCGTTCCAGTCAACTTCAGCGAGTTCAATGAGCCAAGGTGTCAAACATCCAGGACAAATTCACCCGGTGCATCCGGGAGCTACAATACCTGGCGGCGGTAAAGGACTTTCGCAACAGCCGTCTTTTTTAGGTGGATTGTTCCATAAACGCGAGCGTAAATTGTCACAGTGCGATGATAACGGGCCCTACAGCCGTACTACTGAAGTTTAATTCTGTCAATTATATAAATATAAACATTTACAAATACAAATATAAGGTGATGAAAAAAGTTTTTCATCTTGAAAGTTACGTATAAAAAATTTTCACCAGAAAACATCTTGACAATTTTATTATATCAAAAGTTCAAGACACTTTTTTTCATTTCAATAAAATATAAAAAAAATTTTTCTCATTTCTTTCGGATAAAATTATTAAATTTGTTTTTTTTTTTTTTTATTTTCTGTAATTTCAACTTCTGAAAAAAAAAGTTCTTTTAAAACTTTGATAAATTAATTAATTTCATTCTTATTATTTATTATAAATTTGACAGTTGATTGAAAGTAACTTTTAAGATGATAAATTTGTAAAAAAAAATATTACTCCAATATATAAATAAAACTATTAAATCACCATCATGTCTCGAACTAATGAATTGATTATAAATTGATGAATTATTAATCAAATTAAACAACCAACTAATTTAAAGCCTAGATATTGATTTTAACCGTGAGCTAAAGTAAATTTCCCAGTCCGTCGATTAAATTTAATCGACCATGGACCGTTTAAATATCAATTAACATCTACGGGTTCTTGAGAAATTTGATTGAATCACGACAAGTTATTTATTATTATCATCATTATCATTATTACGATTATTATTATTAATATTGGATTACTTTGCATGAGAGTAAAAATTTAATTGGGCAGGATCCAATTTAATTTTTTTTCATTTTGTATTTAAAAAAAATGTTTAGCATGTGAATATTGGCCTAAGTAATTGGCTTTCATACGTACATATAATGAATAATCGTGTAGATAATTTATATAAATATATAATATATGCTTATTAATGAAATTAATTTAAAATTAGCAAATGGGATTCGTTTAACAATTAATGAGCATTTTATATGATTAAAAAATTATGTATTTTGTAAATAATTTGGCAATAATATATATTGTCCTACTAAACAAAGAAATAATTGTAACAATTAAGTAATAATGTTTGTTATTATTATTTTCATCATTATTTCTAATGATTAGTGATTGATAAATAATTATAATAATGTAAATACAGTAGCAATACATCACGACATCATTGGGTACTGGGCCAAAATATTTTTCAGTCATTAGAATTTTTTTTTTTAAATCATTGTTAATGCATGACAATACTTATTTCTATTTAATTATATTTGTCTTGGATTATTTGACAGTTTGTAATTAAAAGTAATCAAGTTTATTTAAGCATATAAAGATACAAAGTTAAAAAACATTTATTTAGTTTGTGTGTAATGTAATGTAGAAAAAAATTTTGAGTTTTATTTTATTTTTATTGTATTCAAATTGTTACTCTGGTAATAATTAGTTATTATTATTATTATTATTATTATTATTATTAATTATTCATTGCTCTGTAAATGATATAATCTTTTAAAATAATAGAACAGAAGCTGTTATTTTATTTATGGAGGTAATGAATAACGATTGAAATTTATTTATTTATTAAACTTTTAATAAGGTGACTGGGTAATTTATAAAATTAACTTGTTAAAGCACCATTGGCTCAAGATACTATCGTGTCTTTGAATGTAATTAATAAATACATAAATTTCAATCGTACGTCCGTGAACTCTAGTCCATGTCAATACAGTTTAGAACTTGTTAGTTTTTATTTTTATCCATTAGATTTCGATTATTTTATTTTATTTTTTAGTTTATTTAACAATTTAATCTAATTACATTGACATCTGCTGAATTGTATTCCCTGAGTGTAATATAATGTTTATTAAAACTAATAAATTATCATAAATTTAATAGTTTATTTTATTAGTTTATAAATTTGTAACTTGCATCAAATTATTTGAAAATTTATAAAAAATTTACAATTTAATTTTTATAAAAAAAAAAATTAATTAGTTGAATTTTTGAAATAATTAAACGTTTGATACAAAAAATATTAATAATTTTAAATAAATTGATGCAATTTTTTTTGAATTTGTAATTAAAATTTTTGAATAAAATATGTCATTTATTAAAATAAAAATTTTTAAACCACTAAAGTTAATTGTAATTGTAATAATTTATAAAAATTCATACTCATGTTGCATAAACATTTGATATATAAATAATTAACAATAAGTATCATGGAGTTCAAGTTTAAACTGTCGTTGTTGAGTTGTAATTATCTAAAGCAATTGAAAATTAATATTTCATTCATATCAACTGAATCATGAAATAGTTATTTCAAATAGAAACAAATTAATGAAATTGATAATGATAATATACGCAAAAATAGACAATTGATAAATAACTGTAATCGATTAAATGCAATATTTATTCACGACAGTGAATGACAATATAAAAATAAAATATGCGAAAAGATTATTTCAAGCTTTAGGTTTTATTGTTAAGATAAATTTTAAAATTATCAGGAAATAATATGAAATCACTGCTGATATGAGATACTGTATAGTCTGTACATAATATCGAAATTAATGTGAAAATTTAACGATTTTATTGGTAATTTGGTTTCATATGAATGATATGTGTATGATACACATGAATTTGTAATCGAGTTATTATTCGTTCCAGCTGCTAATAATTTATCAATAAAAGACTAAATTAATGAAAAATAATTTGTAGTCAGAATTTATAAAATACTATGTATCTGAATACACACTGCACGGATTAAAGACTTATAAGATATATTATAAAAATAAAATAAAACAGCGAATTGTCAAACAAATAATATTTGTATTTATTTCTTCCTCCAGGTACTTACTTAAAATTTTTAATTTGCAGTAAAGTTATGTAAGCTTATGAATTCGGAACTGAAAATGTGTATATGAAAAAAGAAAAATTACACTTTATATTGTATTGTGGCGTTTTGAAAGAAAATTGAAATTTAAAAAATTTCAATTACATTCAAATTTGTCAAAATCAATATTCAAAATTGCAGTTATAAAACTATAATATTTCCAGTTTTAATTTTGGAGAAACGCTCATTACTAAGTTAACTGTAATTTTTCTGTTTTTATTTTTTCTGTACAACAACTAGATAGAATTATATTAAGCATAGACTTACTAGGTAGATACTTGTTGAATTTATTGAGTCCGGTATGTTAATATTTAAAACAAAATTAATGTTTTAACAATTTATGTAAATACAAAAATTTTGATTTTATGCCCAAAAATTCTATACACTCGGTACTAAGCAAGATGAGTTGATTAAATAAATTCGAATTATCGTGGTAAGTGCGCTTGGAATTTTACAGCTTAGAAATTTGGAATCCACACGCCTGATCAATAAGTGCGATAAAAGAATTCAATTTATTGATTTGAGTTAAATACAATTGACGTCACAACCTCTCATTCATGACATTACAAATATTTATATTTTTATTTATTCATTCATTGTAAAAAGAAGAAATGTGTATAAAAATAACATTAATCTTCAAAATTTTAAATTCATGAGAAAATGCTTTATCAAAAATCTATTGTCTATTTTGGGGATTATTTTCGATGGTCTAAAACAAACAAGCAAATATTATAATGATCTAGTCCCTTAATAAGGATCTAGACTCTAGACAAGGATCCGAATTTTCTTAGTATAAGGGCTTTTCTTACTGACGAATGAAATCCTTAATTTTATTGCTCAAAAAAAAAAAAATACTTTTTCTGGTAGGAAAATAATCTTAATCTTCTTATTGTCAAACTGTTTGTTTTGGAATTTTTTTTTCCTTTACAAGGAATAATTTTAGAGGCAAAGGGAGGGATAATAGTAAAGCTGGAAAATTTCGACATAGACTTTGGACTCAGTTCCAAGCTTTCAGTGTTGCAGTGCGTGAGTTGGTCTACTTGGAGAAGTACGCTTCCTTTTCTTTTAACACTCCGTAAATTCAGAAGTCTGACAACGCGTAAATCAGAAAGCGTCTCTTGTTGTCGAATTTTAATTGACTTTGATACAAAATATTCGCAAAGAATAATTGTAAAATTATTACTATTTTATAAATTCGAGTTTTAGTTTTTTTGTGACTTTCAAATTCAAAAATATTCAACAAAAATGGCCGCAGCATATGAAGATCCGAAAGTAACGTGTCCAATTGACAAATCTCATGAAATTTTTAGGTCGAGGTTGCCGCAACATCTAATTAAGTGTTTAAAGGCTAATAAACTAGTAAATAAAATGATATGTCCATACAACACTACGCATTTAATTAATATTAACGAGAAAGAGGTAACGTATCCACTGATAAGTGTTTAGTTAAAAATTTAGTTTATAGCCATTGTATTTTGTTCAGTTGACGTCTTAGTTACAATCTTTCATTTTTTTATCCCGTTAATTGCTGTTTTTTTTTTTTTCATTTTTTCATACAAGCGTTTGATTTGTTGATTTGAGCTTATTCATTGGCAAGTTTTATCGAGTATTGTACTGTGTTTATCTTTTTAACGTTTTTAAAGAAGATCTTATTCCTTTATTGCGTGATGAAAAATTTTTTTATTTTTATGCGAAAAATGGAGGTAGATCAGAGAATCTGCAAAATCCTTCGAATCTTGAAAAAAATAGGCTTTGTTGTGATAAGAAATTAATTTGTTAAAAATGTTAAAAAATTTTATTTCGTAGCTGAAGAAATCAAAATTTTTCTTACAGTTACTTTCTGTTGAAAAAAAGTTTATTTGCTTTGAAAAAAAACAATTTTAAATAGGCCATTTGCGAATTTTTATCCAAAATTGTTTTTTCAAAATCTAGAAAACTTTTTTTCAACCAGAAAATTAATGTGAGAAAAATTTTTATTTCTCCAGATAGGAAATAAAATTGTTAAAAATATTCACCAAATTGATATCTAATTATAACATTATTCATTTTTTTCTAAAGAATTTTTTTTTTAGTATTCGGCAATTTTCAACGGAAATTTCTTATCGTGTATTAAAATAATTTCGATAGCTATGAATTAAAATAGTTACTCTGTATGACTAAATTAAATTTCTATTTTTATTGTAACAGAAACACCTGATGGAGTGTGAGAGCTATGCGAAGATTTTTATTGAGAGTGCTGAGATGGCGGAAAAACCCAACTACTCTGGAGTTGTTCACTTCGACGATGCTGTAGATCAAGTGACGAGGGCTCTCGAAGCTTCTGGGATAGATGGACAAGAAGAGAAAGTATGTTTTATCGACGGCCCGGCGTACAATCCTGAAGAAGCTAAAATTAATGAACAATTGTACCGGCAATTGAATGGTGAAGCCAAGTCTGCGAGAAAGAACTTCCGTAGAGAAGAAGTTAAGAGACATGCTGAACTAGAAGCTAAACAATCGGTAAAATTACTACGTTGTTATTATCCATTGAAATTGAAATTACGTTGTACAGTTTGGATTTTATTTTTTTCTATTGACCTTCACTCGCTAATTCGAGTTTACCGTTTTTATTAACAAGCTAGACGACCCGGTGAACTTCGTATCACTTGCATGTATTTTTTGTGAAAAGTATGGTCAGAACTATACAATATACAATATTTTTGTTTGCATTAAATGCAACACAGTTATGCACTTTATCAATTTAAAGCTTTTTGATGTACTATATTTTTTGTAGTTTTTTGCAATTCGTTATAGTATACACTGAAAAAAAAAATAACTTGATTCAAGAGAAAAATTCTTGAACTAAGTAAATAATTTCGAAGAGTTTCGTTGTCTTGAATCAAGACGAAAAGTTCTTGAATTAAGTAAAATTAATTTAAACCAAGAAAAATTTCTTAGTTTAAGAAATTTTCTACTCAAGTCAAGAAGATTAAATTCTTCAAAATTATTTACTTGATTCGAGTAAATTTTTTTTCTGTGTATTAATAAATAATATATTAAGCCAGTAAAGTAAGAAATGTTAAGAATACACTAAAATCTCAAAAAATTGTTTAAAATTATATCTAATAACTTATACTCCTATTTTATTACTTAAAATTGTAGACTGTAATGCAAAATGGCGGTCATCGATCAAACAAGGCTAAACTCAAGAAGACGCATCGACCAACCGCACTTAAAGATAAGGGTAAAAAAGACGATACTTCTGAAGACGGAAGCATTTATCAAGGGTTGCCTTTAAATAAACCCACTGAACACAAAATTTCCGAAGACTTAGGTGAAGGTTCCAACGTAAGTAGAGCTGAAGATGATAACAGTGGTGCAATCGCATCCCCGGTAAGAAGTAATAAATCTGCTGACTTGGATACTTCTATTAAATCCAAAGAAGAGCTTATTGAAGACACTAAAACTGAGACTGACAATTTTCTGGAAGAATCAGATTATGATAACGCTACCTCTGAACTATATAAAAAATATAACGTACACAATGTTTAATTAATTTTATATAATAGTCAATAATCAACTGACAAACAGTTTTTAATTAATTTATATTGTTTTATTTGTTTAAATAGAAGGGTAAATAATTCATATATTGCTATGTTTTATACCCTAAAGATACTTAAATATATTTCTTAATTCCCAATTATTGTATTATAATCTAATTTAATATTTCGCAAGTTTTTTTATTGTACTTTTAATAATGTCTTAAGCAACATATATTAAAATTGTATATTTGACACGATATTAAAAAAAATTAAATGTTTGTCTAATTAATATTGACTTGAAATAAATGAATGATCTTTTACACAATACATTGTTTTTTCATTTTTACCGAACAGATTAACAGTTGGCAGATCATTTATTCGTGCATGAAAATTATCCTTTTATATTAAAGGCTGTTATAAGCTAAATCTAGTGTTTCAATAAAAATTTATCGTCTAGGAAGCTTCAGTTAAATCTTTTAATATTTCGAGAGGATAAATCTCTTCACTATTTTTTAAGCAAATATTTTTACATTTATAACTATTATAAAAATAGTTCTTATGATTTTTTCCGTGTATAAAATTATTGTTTTATTATTCATTTAATAGCTTGATAAAATGGAAAAAGTTTTAATTATGATTTATGATAGTTCGAATGGCGATGTTATTGTAGATTTGTTGAAAAATCTCTTATAGATAATAATTTAATCCCTACACTGTTAAAAATTTTTGTTTTAATTTTACAATAAAAAAATAGAAAGTATTATTCAGGTATGCATTTGTAAAATTACCATAGTAATATAGTATTTTTCCAATACATTTTACAAGGGAATAATATAGTAATTTTACAGTATTTTTTCTACAAGTTAAATTAGGAATTTTAGTATACTAATATTGTAATTTTACTATATCGTGATATTGGAATTTAACAATATTTTTTCTACAAGTTGAATTAGGAATCTTAGTATACTAATATTGTAATTTTACTATATCGTGATATTGGAATTTAACAATATTTTTTCTACAAGTTGAATTAGGAATCTTAGTATACTAATATTGTAATTTTACTATATCGTGATATTGGAATTTAACAATATTTTTTCTACAAGTTGAATTAGGAATCTTAGTATACTAATATTGTAATTTTACTATATCGTGATATTGGAATTTAACAATATTTTTTCTACAAGTTGAATTAGGAATCTTAGTATACTAATATTGTAATTTTACTATATCGTGATATTGGAATTTAACAATATTTTTTCTACAAGTTGAATTAGGAATCTTAGTATACTAATATTGTAATTTTACTATATC